GATATGCAAAACTCTGAGACCCTAGAGAGCCTTGATAGAAAAAATAAGGCTAGATCGTTTGGCACCTAATGATGATGAAGCTTTGCATTTTGAGACTTTGGACCCAGACGGTGGAGACTGTGATAGGAACAAGGTTGGAAGACTGGGCACTCCTGGGAACAGTTGGTCAGGATTCCCGCCGGCGGGTACTGCTGCTAGCTCTGAGAAGTCACAGACTTATACTTGGGGGAACCCTGCCGATGCCAAACTGCGTGATGCTTACATGCCTAGCATCTGGAATAGGGTAAAAACTATAGCAGCTGTTATCAAGCATTTGAGAGCTGAAAAGACTCAGAGCTTCATGACGGTCACAGGACAGGCTCAGGCTTTGGAGTGAGAATTCTCAGTTCAAGTTGAGACCCTGCACCTGCTAGAATCTTCGTTAATTGCTTGCAGGTTTCCTCTGAACGACTGCATCCCATGCTGCAAGTGGAGGGGCTGAACCAGGTCCTGACCGATAGTAATTCGCTAGCTGTCACGAAATCCCAAATTAACTGGCACAGACGGTCCCTCCGGTCCCCAGGTTCTCCAGCTGCCACCTCCCCCAAAGGGATATCTATGGGGCACCGCGGTCCCGAACCGCGACCGCACGACAAAGGCACCCACCAAAAATGGCGACTCAGAAGCCGTCCGCGGGCGTCAGTTACCGGTCACGCTAGTGAGAGCTACAAGATGAGTCGGAAAGAAACAGCTAGGACAGGGGTTCGACGCCGCGGTAGAGGCAGAGCTCGCCCACGCCACCCGTCAGCCACAAGCACTGAAAAAGCTCGATTTATGGAGCCCGGCGGCATCCTCAGACCGCAACCACGTGTCGAGGTGCGACGTGCGCATGCTCACAGCAGGCGCGCGCCCGCCCGCCGGCCGGAAGAGCCGCGCGTTTCCGGGTTGGAGGCGGGGGAGCGGTGCCGGAAGTACTCGGGGAGGGCCGCGCAGTCGGACCGGCTGCTGAGACGAAAGCTTCACTGGGGCAGTCTCCGCATATCATGGGGAGATAGACGCTACTGCCTGTGAGTCCTGGGCCCCGGCAGTTGAGGAAGAAGAGCGGGAGGAGGGCGTCTGCACGTAGACATACCGTGGGGCGGTGCTGGAAAGACTGGGCTGTGCGGAGCCAGGCTCCTGGGACGGGACCTGAGGGGCTCCGAGCGTTAGGGACCCGGGCTGCAAACGAGACTCGGGACGCGGGGTGGATGCGAGTTGTGCCCGCCCGAGGGAAAGCCGCCCGAAGGCTGAGAGGCAGGATTTGGTAGGACCGGGGAGCCCCAAAACGGGTTGTGAAGACACGGGCTCCCGAGAGGTGAAAGTGGAGCGGCGAGACGACTTGGGCTCCCGAGACAGGCGCGGGACAGCGCAGACCCAGGGCTCCCGGGGATGCGGGAACCGGGCAGCCAGGACTTCGGGGAGACACAGAAGCGGCCAGAGACTGGGCTTGGGGAGGGAAAAGAAGCGGGCAGTGAGGACTTCCCCGGGCTTCTGGGCGGGAGAGGGGGGGGCTCTGAGATTCCCCGAGTTCCTGAAGGAACCGGGCTGCTGAGGACCCGAGCTCCTAAAAGCAGAGGCTCTAAGGGGCCGTGACTGTGAGATCAGCTTCCAGGGAGGGAGAGGTTTGGGGAAAGATTAAGCGATCTGTTCTCTAAACTCCGATGTGTCCAGGGGAAGAAGAGTCCTGGGCGCTGCCTACTTTTTTGGCTTTTTGAAGTCAGGCTCTTTCTTGGGTCAGATACTTAATCTAGAAAGCACACATGAAACACCCTCATTTTTCTTCGTAATTGTGAATCGGATGTGAAGTTGGAAGCAGTTTGAATCAGTTATGTACTTGATAAGTGCTTTAAACCCCATTCCATTCAGCCCCGTATTGAGCACAGATCTCTGCATGGATGTCAGAAGGAGAAGGGCAGGAAAAGATCATTTTAAACTCTTGTCTTACATTTTAGGACAGGAAGGGCCAAAGAAGGCTTAGGACCACAGCCAGACAATTCTTAGGTTATAATTTGATAGAGTACTCTGCACTGTGCAGCACATAAGATGCTAGGTTAAAATTACTTGAATAAATTCTTCTAGAACCCCCACCTTTCAGCTCAGAAGGGACATTTTTACAGATTCTAATATTTTGTCTTGTTACGGCACTGACATATTTCAGTGAATGTCACCAGTAAAGAAACAAACCTTTAGGCGGGCGTCGTGGCACACACTTTTAATCGCTGCAGAGGCAGGCAGATCTCTGTGAGTTCAAAGCGAACTTGGTCCACACAATGAGTTCAAGGCCAGCTGGGGCTACAGGGAGACCAAAAAAGAAAGAAACAAACCTTCAGATGAATGAAGCCAAAAAGATGTTGAGAAAAGTCACAAATAAGTTGTGGCCTATCTTTTGAGCAGGAACATTTACTAGGATTGTTTTTAAAAGAGAAGTGACCTGGACCTGGTCATTTCCCTTCTGCAGTATCTGTGATTGAAAGCTACTCAGACTAACCACACACGACTCAAACAGTTTCAAGTAAATATCACTTAATTATCAGAGCTCCACAGTTGAGTATTGTACAGAGAAATATGCACAGAGAAGTTAAATCCTTTGCCTGAAATGGCATAGTCCTAAGTGACTCACCTCCAAACTTTTCTAAGTGGATTTCTTTCCCTGTCTCAGTTTACCCATCAGCAATAGAAGTAATATTATACAAAGCCTGTCATTGAAGGAAAGCACCCCTCCTGCCGGCTTAACTCCTTTTAATGTCAAAGACTATAACTTTAAAAAAATTTTTTTTTAAATTTTACTTTACGTGTATGCATGTATTGCCTGCATGTAGGTAAGTGCACCTGTGTCATGCAATGCCCGAGGAGGTCAGAAGAGGCTGTCGGATCCCCTGGGACTGGAGTTATGGACAGTTGTTAGCTGCCATGTAGGTGCTGGGATTCGAACCCCCGTCTTCTGCAAGAATAACCAGTGTTCTTGACCACTGAGCCATCTCTCCAGCCCCAAAGACTAACTTTTTAGGGTACTTCTATAGTGTGGTATTTCAGAATTAAATTCCTAGGTTTTCACAGAAGCACAGATGCTCAAGATAGAAAAAAGAGGGGAGCATTTTAAGTTCTTCCTTATAATGGAGTAAGATATATTTAATTTATAATTTAGGAGGCATTTAGTCCTAGCACTCAGGAGGCAGAGGCAAGTGAATCTCAGTGAATCCAAGGCCAGCCTGGTCTACATAGTGAGTTCCAGACCAAAGACCAAAAAAAATATATATATATAGGAGGCCAAGAAAGAGCATCCGGAGAACTAGATCCTGCCTCAGATTGGCTTTCTAGTTCATTGCTAGCGTGAACTTAGCCAGAGAGCCAGTGAGATGGCCTAACAGGTAAAGGTGCTTGTAGCCAAGCCTAGTGACCTGAATTTGATCCCTGAATTCCGTATGATGGAAGGAGAGAAAACTTCTGAAAGTTACTCTACTTCCACAGTGGATCTACACACACACCATTTTTTTTTTTTTTTTTTTTTTTTTTTTTGGTCTTTTTGAGACAGAGTCTCCCTGTAGCGCCACCGTGCCTGGAACTGACTATGTAGACCAGGCTGGCCTTGAACTCACAGAGATCCCCCTGCCTCTGCCTCCCGAGTGCTGGGATTAAAGGCGTGCACTACCACGCCCAGCCCTTTTTTTTTTTTTTTTTTTTAAAGGAATAAGGAAAGAAAATGGGCTAATGTGGTTGAAGGCACTGTTTTTCCCAGTTACTCAGCTGCTACTAGTTTCAAAAGCCTGTACACAGGTGATCAGAATTTATATCAAATTATGAGAGAAAGCACGCCCAGGTCACCATTTCTTTAGTAATTTAGAAAGTGTTTATAGTTGGGTGCACACTTTTAATCCCAGCACTTGGGCGGCAGAAGAAGGTGGATCTCTGAGCTCAAGGCCAGCTGGGACTACAAGGACACACTGTCTCAAAAAGACTGAAAAATCCAAAATGTTTTGTTTTGTTTGGGTCTTTCTGAGATAGGGTCTTACCATGTCCAAACTGACCTCCAACCTGCATCCATTCTCCTGCCTTAGCCTCCTAAGTGCTGGATTTACAGGCATGTACCTTAGCATGCAGCTTGATAGCTTAATGATACATATATAAATATAAGTAAGTATATATAATATATATATTTGAGATAAGGTCTCACTGTGTAGCCCTGGCTCATCTGGAACTTGCTATGTAGACCAGGCTGGCCTGAAACTCACAGAGATCTGGCTTCCTCTACCTCCCAAGTGCTAGGGTTAAAGGTGTGCACTACTCTGCCTGACTACTGATTTATTGTCAAGTTAGCATTCTTACCTACCTTTGATTGCTTTTTTTCTTTTCTTTTTTTTTTTTTTTTTTGAGACAGGGTATCCCTGTAGCTGTCCTGGAACTCACATGTAGACCAGGCTGGCCTTGAACTCACAGAGATCTGCCTGCCTCTGCCTCCCAAATGCTGGGGCTACAGGCATGCACCACCATGCCCGGCTTTAATGTTTCTTTTTTTTTTGCCTTTCTTTTTCAAGACAGGGTCTCTAACCAAGGCTGGCTTCAGACTCTGTGTAGCCAAGGATGACCTTGCATTTCTGATCCTTCTGAGTGCAAAGATTACAGGCCTATGCCACCACACCAAGTTTATTTGATGCTGGGGATCCAGCCAAGTGTCTTATGTATTCTAGGCAAGTACTCTCTCAACTGATCTACATCCCCAGCTCAACAGCAACAATTTTTAGTCTTCACTGTGAAACAGGTGTATTGAAAACAAACAAACTTTGAAATACTCACATATGGACTTAAGTTTCATACTGCTTATTGGAGGTGGAAGGGACTGTTTTGTTGACAGGGTCTCCCTAAGCCCCAGACTGCTTGGAACTCACTATGTAGACCAGTCTGGCCTCGATCTTACAGAGATCTGCCTGCCTCTACCACCCTAGGGCTGGGATTAAAGGTGCACCACTATGCCTGTTGTTTGTTTTTTAAATATGGAACACTTAATTTTCGTGTCATACTTACTTAGGGGCCATGCTAATCTTCTCTGTAGCCTTCCGATTTTAGTATCTGTGCTGCCAAATGAGCACTTTTTTTTTTTTTAATGTTTTTGAGACAAGGTTTCATGTAGGCCAGACTAGTTTTGATATGTAGCTCACTATGTAGCTGAAGGTTACCTTGAACTCCTCCTGCCTCCACCTTGAAAATGCTGAGATTGCAGGAATTGATACCCAGGTATTTATTTTATTTTTGAGATGGAGTCTCAGTATGTGAACCAGGCTGCCCTTCAACTCCAGAGGGCTTAAGTGATCTTCCTGCTTCAGTCTCCTAAGTAGCTGGCAGGCATCCCCCTCCTTCCCATTTTCCTTCCCTCCCTTTCTTATTTTCTATGCAAGGGATCGAACCCATGACCATATAGACAAGCACTTACTCCCGAGTAAATTGCCAGCTCTGTTCTCTTTTTTTAAAAATGTCTCTAGTCATTGGGGCTATACAGATGGCTCAAAGGCTACAGGTATTTGCTGCCAATTCTGATGTCCTAAATTCCATCCCCAGGACCCAAGTGCTGGGATTAAAGGCATGCACCACCATGCCCAGCCTTGAAACCAGCCTTTTCTATACAGCAGGTTCTAGACCAGCCAGGACTATATAGTGAGACCCTCTCTCAAAATACAAAAGCAAATATTAGCAAATTTGTTTATCCATATAGACTCTTCTAAGTGCTTTAGTTTCAGAAACTCTGAATTCTCTATCACAGCTTCCATGACATACACTTTTTTTTTAATTTTATTTTATGTGTATGTGTGTATTGCCTGCATGTAGGTAAATGCACCTGTGTTGTGCAATGCCCAAGGAGGTCAGAAGAGGCTGTTGCATCCCCTGCGACTGGAGTTACGGACAGTTGTTAGCTGCCATGTGGGTGCTAGGATTCAAACCTGGGTCTTCTGCAAGAACAACCAGTGTTCCTAACCACTGAACCATCTCTCCAGCCCCCCATGACATACACTTTTATTAATTTCATCATTTTTTTTTTCAGTTAAAGAAATTGGGAGGTGGACCTGGTGTGGTGGCTCACACCTTTAGTCCCAGCATTTGGGAGGCAGAGGCAGGTGGATCTCTGTGCACTCCAGGCCAGCTGGGGCTACAGGGAGACCCTGTCTCAAAGAGACCGGAAAAAAAAGAGAGAGAAATTGGGAGGCAGGTAATAGGGATGGGAATGAGGTAGGAGGGTGAGGGCAATAGTCATCAGAATGCACCATATGATATGAGATTGTCAACAAATTTAATAAAATATTTTAAAATTGAGGCATTAAGAGATTAAATAATGGAGGCTCAGTAGGTAATTTATTTGCTGTGAAAACATAAGAACCTTTGTGTCAAAAAGCCAAATGTAGTGGTCTACCTGTGTAATACCAGTCTGGGGAGGCAGAGAGTGGTGGGCCCCTAATTAATCATGTGAACATGAACACACATACAAAAAAGATTAGGTAACTTGTACAAAGACATATATTGCTGGGTGACAGTATTGAACTCAGACACCACCACCCAAGAGCCTGTATGCCCCATCACTGCCTTTCTATTAAATCGAAACCAACTATACAGGATCAAACTATCCAAAATGAGCTTATCTTCAAACTGGAAAAAAAAATCCTTCCTTTCTTTTTCTCTCTAGTGTCAGATCACAAGTAACAGATTCTTTTTACTTTATGTAGACTGTAAAATATGTACTTACTTGGGTGTAGGTAGAAGCCAGAGGGGAGAAAGCCAGGTCAAAAACCTAACCATTAAAACCTACACCACAGGCTTTTCTGCACCCGACTGGTAGTCCCTTTGACTCCAGTATTTTGTTTCAATACTACAATTCCTAAGCATTTCAGAAGTCAGAAAGTTTAAATACAAACTGATCTATTCCTGTCACTTAAACAACAGCAACAAAAATAGTTAATGGAGCAGGAGTCCAGAGGAGGCTATGATCTATGTATGACCAGGTACCTGCTCCACTGAAAAGTTGGATCCTTTCAGTGTAGTAATAGGCTAGCCCCTGGACAAGGTTGTGACAAAAGAAAAGCAATTAGGGCATGTCATTCTTTGTCGATCTTTTTTTAGATGGTCTCATTATGTATATTTCTGCATAGTATAGACCAGTAAGGGTTAGTTATAATTATTCTCTCAAATGCCCCACAGTTATTGGCTCTGGGGTTTTTTGTTTTGTTTTTGAACCTATCACATGAATTCTGAGAAAGTGAGAAATTTGAGTAGCCCAAAGGTAACCATGGTATTATGTAATGGAATTCAAATTCAAGTTATTTGTATCACTTCATTCCATTGGCCACAGTTGGACCTGCTGAAAGGAGTCAGTAAACAGGTTATTAGGACATGGAGCCATTGACAGTGCTCATCAGGCTGTGCTACTTTCTTATACTTCTGTTTTGTTTTGAGACAAGATCTCACTTTGTAGCCCTGGCTGTCCTGGAACTCATTATGTAGACTAGGCTGGCCTCAAACTCACAGAGATCTGCCTGCCTCTGCCTCCTGAGTCCTGGGATTAAAAGTGTGCGTCACCATGGTTGGCTTACTTTTCTCTTACTGCTGTGTGTTTGCTTGTGTATGATGAGTATGGCGGCACCCACATGCCATAGGCACATGTGTGGAGGTCAGAGGACAACTTTGTGGAGTCAGTGCTCTCTTTCAATCTTACATGGGTTCTGGGAATCAAACTCAGGTCATCAGGCTTGCAAAGTAAGTGCTTTTACCCCCTAAGCCATGTCACTAACCCCTTTTACTTAAAAAAAATTTTTTTGAGGCAGGATCTCCCTGTAGCCTCAATTGGCCTGGAACTTGCTATGTAGACCAGGCTGGCCTTGAACTCACAGAGATTCACCTGCCTCTGCCACCTGAGTGTTGGGATTAAAGGTGTGTGCCACCACACCTGGCAGAATTTTATTTTTTTTATTTTTATTTTATGTGTATGAGTGTACTGCCTGCATGTATGTGAGTGCACCTATGTTGTGCAGTGCCTCAGAGGTCAGAAGAGGGTTTCACATTCCCCTGGAATTGGAGTTAAGGATGGTTGGTAGCCGCCATGTGGGTGCTAGGAATCGAACCCGGGTCCTCTGCAAGAGTAGTCAGTGCTCTTAACTGCTGAACCATCTCTCCAGCCCCTTATTTTTATTTTTTTTCAGACACACGCTCCTGTAGCCCCAGCTGTCCTAGAACTCACTTATGTTAACTGGTCTGGCCTCGATCTCACAGAGATCCACCTGCTTCTGCTGAGATTAAAGGCATGTGCCACTCCCAGCTTTTTAAAATTTTATATTTTAAAATTTGGGCACAAATTCTTTTGCAGGTGCCATTGCAACTTAGAATATGGTTGATGCACATAAGTACAACTCAACATTTAGAACATTACCACTTGCCCCCAAAGTTGATCATGCTCTTCCCTTCCCCAGCCCAGGCCCTTTGGCAGCCACTGATCAGTTCTTCATCCCTAAAACATTGCCTCATGGATATCATGTGAATGGACTCCTGCAACCTTTGATCCATCCATGTTATCACATGTATTAGTCACTTTTCCTTTCTACTTACAAGTAGTACTTTACTTTATGAATGTTCCATAGTTTCGTTTACTCCGTGAATGAATAAACAAACTGTGGGTTCTGAGAATCAAACTAGTTTGGAGCAACTTGGGTAAGGTTGCTATAAACAATCACATACAGTTTAGGTGGGAATATAAGTTTTCATTTTTCTAGAGTAAATACCTACTAGAGGATTGCTGGATCATATGACAAATACATGTTTAACTTAAAAGTTTGTTTTTGTTTTGTTTTGAGACAGGGTTTCATTATGTAGCCCTAGGTGTCCTGGAACTCATGTGGACCAGGCTAACCTTGAATTTGCAGAGGTCCACCAGCCTCTGCCTCCAGAGTCCTGGGATTAATGGCATGTGCCACCATACCTGGTTACATGTTTAATTTATAACAAATTTCCAGCTGGACATGGTGGCATAGGCCATAGACCTGCTGGGAGTACAGATGGTACACCACTGCATCCGGCTTTCTACTTGTGTTCTGGGAATCAAACTCAGCTTTACCCACTGAGCCATCTCCTCAGCCCTCCGTTGCTTTTTTTCTGATAGTGTCTTCCAGGAATCAGCAGCCTGAAGCCCAGAAAGGACCTCACCAGAGCTTTGTCTGGAACTCACTATGTACACCAGGCTGGCCTCAAACTCAAAGATCTGCTTGCCTCTGCCCCCAAGTGCTGGGATTAAAGGCATGTGCCACCACGCCAGCAGGAAGAGATTTTTTTTTAATTTTTTTATTATTTTTATTTTTTTATGTGTATGCATGTATTGCCTGCATGTTGGTAAGTGCACCTGTGTCCTGCAATGCCCATGGAGGTCAAAAGAGGCTGTTGGATCCCCTGGGACTAGAGTTACAGACAGCTGTTAGCTGCCATGTGGGTGCTGGGATTTGAACCCGGGTCTTCTGCAAGAACAGTCAGTGTTCTTAACCAATGAGCCAGCTTTCCAGCCCCAAAACATTTTATTTTTATTTTATGTGTATAAGCCTGTGTGTATATAAGTATACCTGTGTCATGCAATGCCCACAGAAGTAAGAAGAGGGCATCAGATTCCCTGGAACTGGTGTTATGGATGGTTATTAGCCACCATATGGGTTCTGGGAATTGAAACCAGGACCTCTGCAAGAACAGCCAGTACTCTTAACCATTGTGCCATCCAGCCCCTGAAATTACATTTACTTATTGTGTTATGTATGTATTTATGTGGGAATGTGTGTGGATATCAGAGGACAGCTTATGAGAGTTGGTTCTCTTTTAATTTTTTTTTTTAATTAAAAATAAATTATTACTTTTTGGGGGGGGCTTTTCTTTTGAGACAGGGTCTCCCTGTAGCCCCAGCTGGCCTGGAACTCATTATGTAGACCAGGCTGTCCTTGAACTAACAGAGATCCACCTGCCTCTGCCTCCCAAGTGCTGGGACTATAGGCGTGTGCCACCATGCCTGGCTTTATTATTTTTATTTTATGTGTATGAATGTATCGCCTGCATGTATGTGAGTGCACCCATGTTGTGCAATGCCTCGGAGGTCAGAAGAGGGCTTTGGATTCCCCTGGAACTTGAGTTAAGGACTGTTCATAGCCACCATGTGGATGCTGGGAATCGAACCCTGGTCCTCTACAAGAGCAGTCAGTGCTCTTAACCGTTGAGCCATCTCTCTAGCCCTGGTTCTCTCCTTTTACCAGATGAGACAGGAATCAAACTCAATCAGCCTTGGCAGCAAGTACATTTACCTGTGTGTGTGTGTGTGTGTGTGTGTGTGTGTGTCCCATTCTACAGTACACATACTGGTTTATGTAAACGTTTTTCATAGGTAATATAGGCCTACAGGACAAAATTTGGAGTATATAATGAAAGGCAAGTCACTCTTGTCTTAGACCCATAGGCCATGCAGACACCGACTTTCTTAGGCAACCACCAAACAATACAACCACCATTATGATTTTTTATGTACTCTTCCAAAATTATCCATTAAGTTAGTGTGCAACATAACAGGTTTTATGATATTTGTTGTGTGTGCTTTGTTCTTGTTTGCCCCCACCTACCAGGAATGTTGTATTTACGTCATTGAATTTGAGGATGTAGTGCAGTGGTAGAGCACTTGCCTGACAGGAGCAAGGCCTTGAGTTCTATCCCCAGCACTACCCAAAATCCAAGTCAAACAAACTGAATGTGTCTGTGTACAGTTTTTGGTTTTGTTTTATTTTGTCTTTTTTTTTTTTTCCAAACCAAGGGTCTTACATGAGCTAGACAGAACTCCTAACCTTGAGCTATACCCCTCCCAGTCCCCTGTGTGTATCTTTTTAAAAATATTTTGTTATTTTTATTTTATGTCTATGCATGTATTGCCTGCATGTAGGTAACTGCATCTGTGTCATGCAGTGCCCAAGGAGGACAGAAGAGGCTGTCGCATCCCCTGGAACCGGAGTTACAGACAGTTGTTAGTTGTCATGTGGGTGCTGGAATTCAAACCCGGGTCTTCTGCAAGAACAGTTAATGTTCTTAACCCCTGAGCCATCTCTCCAACCCTGTGTATCTTTTTTTAAATGTAGATGACTGGACTGTTTTGCCTGAATATAAGTATACCGCATGCAGTGCCCATAGAGGCCAGAAGAGGGCATCAACCCCTGGAACTGGAGTTAAGGATCAGTTTTAGCTATTATGTGGGGATTGGGACTTGAACCTGGGTCCTCTAGAAGAGCAGCCAGTGCTTTTTTTTTTTTTTTTTTTTTTTTTTTGGGGGGTTGGGGGTTTTAACGTGGGGTCCCACTAAGGGCGCCGCGGTTTTTTTTTTTTTTTTTTTGTCTTTGTTGAGACAGGGTCTCCCTGTAGTTCCAGCTGGTGGCCTGGAACTCACTATGTAGACCAGGCTGGCCTCGAACTCACAGAGATCCGCCTGCCTCTGCCTCCCAAGTGCTGGGATTAAAGGCGTGTGCCACCAAGCCCAGCAGCATTCAGCTTTTTAGTTGAATGAGTTACAGAAGAGTTCATTCTAAATGCCAAACCCACTTCACCATCATTATCACCATCAGATTCTTCCTTTGCTTCCACTTCTCAGCTGGTCAACAGTGGTGGAGAGGCAGGAACTCCTGCTGGTGCTGCCCCAGATGCTGGTGCAAGCCTGCCAGCCCTGCCTTGCAGAGGCTCCCAGTGTTGACTTGCCCAGGTCTTTGCAAATAAGCCAGGCCAAAAAGGCCCACCATTTATATCAGCTACTTTACAAGGGCATTGGGCTTATCCTGCTTGAAGAACCTCCTTTCAATGTTACTGTTGTTGTTTGGTGGGTTTGTTTTTTTTAACGGTCTTTTTGAGACAGGGTCTCCCTGTAACCCCAGCTGGCCTGGAACTCACTATGTAGACCAGGCTGGCCTTGAACTCACAGAAAAACGCCTGCCTCTGCCTCCCAAGGGCTGGGATTAAAGGCCTGTACCACCACAAAGGCCTAAGTGTGTGCAGAGGCCAGAAGAGGGTGTTGGATCCCCTGGAACTGCACCCAGGTGGGTACTAGGAATCAAACCCAGGTCTTCTGGAAGAACAGCAAGTGTTCTTGACCACTGAGCTATCTCTCCAGTTCTGTTGTTTGGTGTTTTGAAACAGGGTCTCCCTGTAGCCCCAGCTGGACTGGATCTTGCTATGTAGACCAGACTGGCCTCCGACTCCCAGAGATCCACCTGCCTCTGTCTCCCGGGTGCTGGAAGTGAAGGTGTACACCACCATGCCTAGCCGGAAGGAAGTCATCTTCATGTTTTATGAGGGCAGAGTAGAGCTGGGAGACCAAGGCCATAATGTGGGCAGATGCTGCTAAGTATCCAGCTTCCTCCAGGTAACGTGAGAGCTTCGCTTCAGTGTGGCCTTAGCCTCCTTAGAACTGAGCACCTTGGTGGCAGCTAAAGAAACTCAGTAAGGCATTTTCATAGAAGTGTTTCTGGGAAAATGCTTTTATGATACTAGAACAATCCTTATCAAGCCAGGTGAGGTGGCATATGCCTGTAACCTCAGTACTCTAGTACTCAGGAGTCAGGAGGATTGCCAGGAGTTCAAGGTCATCCTGGGCTACATGGAGAGTTTAAGGCCACCTAGGATACCCAAGAGCTTATCAAAAGAGGAAAGGAAGGAAAAAAGGAAAGGAGGGAGGGAGGGAGGGACTGACTTTTCTTGGCATCCAGTAGGGATAAGGAGACTCCTATTTTGGTGAAGAAGCACTGTGCTGCCCAGATGAGTACTTTTGTAGTGGGGGTGGTACTTGATGCTAGTCGTTCGTTTACAGGTAGCTTTTGAAAATGGCTGCCTCGCATTTCGCCGGGCTCACAGCTGTTGCTGATGTAATTAAAGATCTAGACACTCAGATAGCAGTAAGTAAACTTGAACCACTGTGGGCAGAACTTGGTGAATGTGCTTCTGCTGTGGATGACATAATGTCCACAGGGTCAACCTATGGCTCCCAGATTTAGGAGTTGTGACTGTTCAGGCTAGGGTCTCTGCATGTACCTAAATATTGCTAAGACCTAGGGGAAAATGGTCTTTATTGTAAAGAAGAGCTTTTAACAGTTGCTAAAAAATTGTGTTTATTGGGCAGAGCTCTGATGTAGGTTTAAGCATGTTTTGAAATGCTTCAGCAAGTTTTGAAAGTGGACTAATCTGTTTTCTTAAGCTTTGTGACTGGGTTTTAAGTATGAGATTGTGCTACTATATTTGAATTTAATATGATTTGATATTTAAACAATGCATGTAAAAACTTAACCCAGTATTCTGTGTGTATGAAATCCTCGAAAATGTCTGGCTTGTTCTAGTTCATTTTTGTCAATAAAATTCCTCATTTCATTTACTTCAATTTTGTGAACTATTTCATTTAGCTTTTGGAGAAGAGATGGTTTCTAAAAACCAGGTGAGCAATGAACATTCTTCATCCCCTCCACTTTGATGTGTAGGTATCAAATGGTCACCGTTTCAGATACACCAAAGCGTCTCCAACATCTGACAAATCTCACAATGTACTTTCACAACTCATCCTTTATTGCAGGTGTTTCTGGAGTTAATTCTGGTGTCTCTGTTTTCCTTCTCCAGTTGATTGGCCTTGGTCCTCATAGCTCCAAGAAGAAACAGGATCTTGATAAGCTCTATGAGCTGAAGTCCAAAGCTCGGCAGATTATGAACCAGTTTGGCCCCTCAGCCCTAATCAACCTCTCCAATTTCTCATCTATAAAACCAGAACCAGCCAACACACCTCCACAAGGCTCCATGGCCAATAGCACTACTGTTGTAAAGATTCCGGGCACTCCTGGGACAGGCGGTCGCCTGAGCCCTGAAAACAATCAGGTATCATCCTCTTGGCTTTCCTTCTGTGTAGGCCCCTGTATTTTTCTCACTTGGACCTGTGACAGTTTAGAGATGGACTTATCAGGTGCTACCTCTTTCTCTCAGTTGAAAAAGGTCTTTCCCCTGGAATAGAATTTTTTATTGAATTATTGTGTACAGTATCAGTTTTCAATCTGCTGTATATGGCTGTGTGTATGCATGTATGTAGATCCATATATACACATATAATAACAAAACCTTTCATATGACAGGTCGATGTTTTGTTGAGATAGGGTTTTACTATGTAGCCCTAGCCAGCCTCAAAGTCATGGACAATCCTCCTGCTTCATCTTCCCAAGTGCTGGGACTACAGGAGTGAGCCACCACACCCAGTAACGGCAAGTGTTTTGTCTGCTAGCTGTGTAATAAATGGGCTCTTCATTCCTAAAATAAAAGTACTCTTCAGTCATTCCTTCTTGTAGTTTGTCTAACTGCTACCATTTTTTCAGTAATTCCAAAATTTGCTCCCCTGTCTGTACTTGTAACCTAAGTCTACCTTACAGAGCCTCAGGAAGGCAGCATAATCCTTGGCTTTGGCTCTTGTAAGCTGGATAGAATGGGTGAAGGGACAGTCAAGGGAATGTGTGGAAGGACGAGGAAGCTGCATGGGTTGCACAGAGTAGAGACCAGCCTGTGTTAAATGCGGAGTCCATGGAGTGAGCTAGAGAAGGTGATCCCAGTGCTTGGGAAGTAGGAGGAGGAAGATCAGGAGTTCAGGGTCATCCTCTGCTGCAAAGCAAGTTGGCAAGATGGCTCAGCAGGTAAAGGCATCTGCTGCCAAGACTGATGACCTGGGTTCAGTCCCCAGAATCCATATGGTAGAAGGAGAAAACAAAGTCCTGCAGGTTGTCCTCTTACGCACGCACACGCATGCACACACATGATGTAAACAGAACCCAAATATTTGTTTAATTTTATTTATTTCGTTGGGGTTCATTATTTGTTTCTGTGATGCTGGGGGGCCACTCTAGGGCATTAGATAAGCAGTGTACCACGGAACTGAATCCTAAGCTCTTCCTTCCTATTCATCTTTTCTTTTTTTGGTCTTTTTTTTTGTTTTTGTTTTAATTTTATTTATTTTTTTTATTTTATGTGTATGCGTGTATTGCCTGCATGTAGGTAAGTGCACCCATGTCGTGCAGTGCCTGAGGAGGTCAGAAGAGGCTGTCGGATCCCCTGGGACTGGAGTTACGGACAGTTGTTAGCTGCCATGTGGGTGCTGGGATTCAAACCCGGGTCTTCTGCAAGAACAACCAGCCAGTGTTCTTAACCTCTGAGCCATCTCTCTAGCCTCTTTTGGTCTTTTTGAGACAGGGTCTCCCTAGAGCCTGTAGTGGCTCTGGCTTAGAACTCACTAGGTAGACCAGGCTAGCCTTGAACTCACAGAAATCTGCCTTCCTTTGCCTCCCAAGTGCTGAGACTAAAGGTGCATACCACTACACCCAGCTCCCCTTGATAACTTTTAATGTTTTCTAGGTATAACATGACTCTTTTTTTTCTTTTGTCTTTTTGAGACATGATTTTCCTGTAGCCCCAACTGGCCTAAAACTCACTATGTAGATCAGGCTGGCCTCCATCTCACAAAGATCTGCCTGCCTCTGCCTCCTGAATGCTAGGATTAAAGGTGCACCACCACACATAGTGACACTTTATAAAAGAGAGATGATAGCTATACTATTTATACATTATTTAGTTATATAGAGGTGACCACACATTGGTTACCATCATAGAACTTTTAGCCTGTTATAATCTGAAGTAGACAAGTTTATAAATACAATGACAGAAAGGCACACAAAGTACACATGCGGTCAAAGGGGAAGTGGTCACTTTTACCTGGGTGAGCTGGGAAAGGCATCAGAAAGGAGCACCATGAGCTGAGCATCAGGAAGAAGGGAAGAACACATCTAAAGGTCCAGTTCGTGGAGATCAGAGAATTGCAAGTTGCTTTCTATAGCACAGGGAGGCAAAGTGAGAAAGAGGCAGCTGAAGTAGACGGCCTAACCATTGGTGCTGAGCTTTCTCCCTGGATGATTCTGTTTTAAGAATACCTTTAGAATAAATGTACCACCAAGTAGGACAGTCTGTGAACTCTGGAAACTTGAACCTAAACCCACAAATATGACAGCCCTTCTTCCGTAGTGGGTAATGAGTTTTGCTTCCTTAATACTCACTGAAAAATCTTCCCGAAATTCACTTTAGGTATTGACCAAGAAGAAATTACAGGACTTAGTAAGAGAAGTGGACCCTAATGAGCAGTTGGATGAAGATGTGGAGGAGGTAAGGTGGATTTGGGTACCAAAGAGAGTGTGTCCCTAAAGTTGGTATAGGTGATTAAGAGCACAGGCTGTGCCTGGCAGTGGCACATGCCTTTAGTCCCAGCACTTGGGAGGCAGAGGCAGAAGGATCTCTGGGAGATTAAAGCAAAAAACAGGCTTTGGGGCTGGAGACATGGCTCTTCCAGAGGACCTAAGTTCAGTTCCCAGCACCCACATCAGGCAGCTCATAACTGCCTTTAACTCCTGCTCCAGGGGGCTGAATATGACAACACACACCTTTAATCCCAGCACCCAAGAGGCAGAGGCAGGTGAACCTCTGTGAGTTCGAGGCTAGCCTGATCTACGTAGCAAGTTCCAGGCCGGCCATGGCTACATAGTAAGATCCTGTCTCAAAAAACCCCCCACAAAAAACAAAACAACAGTAACAAAATAAATCATAAAGAATGTTGGGCATGGTGGTGTGTCTTTAATCCCATCCCTCAGGAGGCAGAGGCAGATGGAACTCTGTGAAATCGAGGCTACCCTCACACATGACTTCCAGGTGGGCTGTGTCTACAAAGACAAAAAACAATCAACAAAAAGACCAAAAATTAATTAATTAAAAAAGAATAGCTGGGCATGGTGGTGTACACCTTTAACCCCAGCACTTGGGAGGGAGGCAGATCTCTGTGAGTTCGAAGCCAGCCTGGTCTACATAGTGAGTTCCAGGTCAGCTGGGGCTATAGCGAGACCCTATCTCAAAAAGACAAAAAAAAAAAAAAAAGAACAGATACTCAGTGGTGGAAAATATGAATTTGAATTTTGGCTCTGCCATTTGCCAACTGTGCAGCCATGGAGGAGTCTCTTAAGCTCACCCTCTTGGTATGGTATGACACTGTTTCTCTACAAGGTTGTTGTGAGGGTTCTATGGAGTAATTTAAACAGTTCTCCTGGGCGACAGCTTAGCACTTTGCTGCTAGTAGCTGCTACCATGTCAAGAGGCCTAGGCAGCTAGTTGGGTGGTACAGGCTATAATCCCAGAGACTGAGGAAAGGAGGCTTGTGAGTTTAATGCCAGCCTGGGCTACATGGTAAATTCAAGGCAGGGACTACATGGAACCTATCAAAAAAAAAGCAAGCCGGGCATGGTGGTGCATGCCTTTAGTCCCAGCACTTGGAAGGCCGAGGCAGGTGGATCTCTGCAAGTTTGAGGCCAGCCTGGTCTACATAGCAAGCTCCAAGCAGCTGGGGCTACAGGGAGACCCTGTCTCAAAAAATAAAAAACAAAACAGAAAAAAACAGTGTTAGTAGCTAGTATCAGTAATTTTAGCTATTAGTAGTATCAGTATCCGTAATTTTAGTTATTTCTATAATATTCAATTCAAGGTCAGCCTTCGTGGGCAACTTAGTGAGACCTATAACAGGAGGGAGACACTGGGGATCCTGAATTCCTTGTTCTGTGAATGAGATGAGAGGGGCAGCTAGAAAGTAAAGGGTAACGTGTTCTCCAGCCACGTGCAACTTTGCCCCTGTAGACTCGCCTTGAAGCTGATCATGGGCATGCATGTGCAACACAATCCCAGTCATACTCGTTGTACAACTTAAGCCTCACTCTACACTCCAGCAAGAATTGGAGGATAGGAGTGCAAACCACTGCCCCCCCCATAGCCGACAATGACTAGCTAAAGAGGCATCTTTGTAGCCATACAGCCTGTGGACTCACCCCACAAGTTCTTGAGGTACAGAGCTCCCTGCCCTGCTCCAGCTCTTCATTGTCCTTGGAGTGAACCCTTCCATACAAACTCAGAGACAGGCAGGTAGCCCCAGCCATATACATGAAACCCTCTACTGCGCTCCCCATTGGAAAATGGCAGTGAGACCACCTCAGAAAGTCATGCCTAGTGCTCTCTATATGCAGTGTTTCAAAAGGAAAGAATAAATAGAGAAAATGCCCACAAATGGAGACTGAGGAAAAAGACCACAGATAGGATCGGGACCACCTCCTCCGTCACAGGCAGACTGAGAAGAAAGCAGTGAGTGCTGGGGATGCAGCTCAGTGGGAGGGCACCACCCTAGCATGTGTACAACCCTAGGCTTAATCTCTAGGACTGCCAAAATAAATCAGCAGGCCTGACAGCTCAGACCTGTAATCCCAGCACTCAGGAGGCTGAGACAGGAGGATTGCCTTAAGTTTGAGGCCAACCTGGGGTACTAACGTTCAAAGCCAACTTGAGCTATAGAGTAAATCATGTCTCAAAAACAAAACAAAGGGATTGGAGAGATGACTCAGTGGTTAAGAGCACTGACTGCTCTTGCAGAGGACCTGGGTTCTATTCCCAGCACCCACACAGCGGCTACCAAACCATCCTTAACTCCAGTTCCAGGGGAATCTGAAGCCCTCTTCTGACCTCCGAGGCATATTTTTTTAAAAAGACAAAGCCGGGCGTGGTAGTGCACGCCTTTAATCCCAGCACTACGTAGGCAGAGGCAGGCGGATCTCTGTGAGTTCAAGGCCAGCCTGGTCTACATAGTGAGTTCCAGGACAGCTGGGGCTACAGGGAGACCCTGTCTCAAAAAGACCAAAAAAAAAAAGACAAAACTACAAAGAAGGAAAAAAAAAGAAAAACTAGTAAATATTTTTTAAAGACCTCAGGACTTGAACTCAACCCTCAAGGCTAAACCTATTTCTACTGCTTTCCAGTTGCTTAACCATGAGCAAATTGGTGTGAGTCTTATTATCTCGCACTAGATTGAGGATAGACTCTGAAGTTAAGGGCGCTTGCTGCAAAAACGTGAAGACCAGAGGTCAATCCCAGCACCAGCATAACAAGCCAGGTATCCCAGCAGACCTGTAACCCCAGTTTCAAGAGGGGCGGAGACAGGAAGATTGCTGGGGTTTGTTGGCTTCTAGCTGAGAAAACGTGAGCCCCGGGTTGAGGGAGAGACCTGCCTCAAAAGAACAGGCAGAGAGTGATAAGGAGGAAACTTGACGCCCTCTTACGACCTCCATGTGTATGTGCAGTGCATGTACACTGCATGCATGCTCACACACACTCATGCACACACACTTGCATAGAAACAAACTTTTTTTTAATTAATTTACTTATGTGTATGAGTATGTTGCCTGCATGTGTATACGTGTGCTTGTGTTGTGTAATGCTTGCAGAGGTCAGAAGAGGACGTCGGATCCTCTGGAACTGAAGGTACGGGTTGTTGTTAACTGCTATGTGGGAGCCATCTCTCCAGCCCTCCCCTACCACCTTTTTTTGAGACGGTCTCCCTGTAGCCATAGCTGACCTGGGACTTACTATGCAGACCAGGATGACCTCAATCTCACAGATATCAGCCTGCCTGTGTCTCCTAAGTGCTGACCATCTTTTTTTAAGGTTGAGGATAAACTCTGTGATTGTACATACCTGAAATCCTAACACTTGGGAGGTGGAGGCAGAAAGAGCAGGAGTTGAGGCCATCCTGGGCTACATGAGACCCTCAGAGGGAAAAAGATACTGACTATAAAATCCATTCTCTGCCCAGGAGGGTTGTAAGGAGTAAGTGAAAGAATGGACAGCGAGTGGGGCATCGTGACTGACTTTTGTTCTCACACTTAACTCAGAAAAAGTAGGGGTGGTACAGATTGCATTAGTTTATCTCTACTGAGCAGAAAGAACAGAAAGTACATCCTTAGAAAGGTGTGAGTTATGCTTGACCTGAATAATGTTTTCGTTGTCCTCATTCCCCATCCCCACATTAGTCCAAATGCTGATCCTGGGCCTACGAATAGCCTGACTAAGTAGATGATTCAGGAAGAAAACAGTTGTCCCAGCAACAGGAACTACCCTGCCAACGTCATGATTATTCTCCCCGCTTGGCCCTCTCCAGATGCTGCTGCAGATCGCTGATGACTTTATTGAGAGTGTGGTGACAGCAGCCTGCCAGCTCGCTCGGCATCGCAAGTCCAGCACCCTGGAGGTGAAAGATGTCCAGTTGCATCTAGGTATGTGGTCCTAGTTCTCCCTGAAGTGTCTCCACGACTCCTTGAGGACTGTCAGGGAAAATGTCAGAGGGACTTTCATGCCAGGACCAATCACGAGCAGCACTGAATAGAGGCCTTTCAGTTGTGTAAGGCATGCAGCACTGGGTTTAAGCATATCCTTCTACTTTCCATCTTACCACCTTATCCTTTTGTACTCGATTTCTCTGAGATTCTGTTTCCTCGTTTATAAAGAAAACTGCAGTATCTTCCTTTCAGGGTAATTGTGAAAATTGCAAATTATGTTTGTAAAGTGACTGGCTTAGGGGCTGGTACCAAGTAACTGCTTAATAACTGTAGCTACTCTGATGTCTCTACCACTGAAATAAAACTTTCTAAAGAAGGGCTGGCAAGCCAGGCGTGGTGGTACACGCCTTTAGTACCAGTAAATGGGAGGCAAGAGACAGGCAGATCTTTGTGAGTTCAAGGCCAGCCCGGTCTACATAGCGAGTTCCAAATCAGCTGGGGCTACAGAGAGACCCGGTCTCAAAAAGACAAAAAAAAGGGGGGGAGGCCTGGCAAGATGGCTGAGCAGATTAAGGGGCTTGCCACCAAGCTTGATGACCTGAGTTCAATCTCCAGAATCCACATGGTAGAAGAAGAGAACCAACTCCCATAAGTTGTCCTCTAACTTATACCTGCACATATGCCTTCCACCACACATTCTCTATGAGCGCTCACACATACACAAATATACATACACACAATAAATGAATGAAAGTAAAAACAGTTTCTCATCCCAGCACTTGGGAGGCAGAGGCAGGTGGATCTCTGTGAGTTCAAGGCCAGCTGAGGCTATGGGGGAAAACAGTTTCTCAAGGCTGGAGGTATAGCCCAGTTTTAGAACACTTGCTTAGCATGTTCAGGGTCCCAGGTTTGATCCCCTAACATCACAAAAAGAACAAAACCTAAACTGTTCCTCTGAATTCCTTTGTGGTTTTTAACCCATTTGTAAATTTTCCCCATGAAAATGCTAATCAATGTGTATACAGTTTTTTATCCTTTCCCATTTAAGAAACTAAACTTGAGCTAGAGATCTCTGGAAGGTACTCACCTAACACTAGTAACCATAATCATGTGGAAGGGAAGAAGCACTCCAGCATTGGTTGCAATGTGACCAAAAGAAAAAACCCACCAGGCATGGTGGCTTAACACACCTAGCTAAATTGCTGATGTTGAGAGCAGAGAAAAAATTTTGCAGTTATCTTATTGTATAACAAATATCCCCAAAATACTGACTTTAAATAGTAGTAACTGGACCAGCAAGATGTTTTAGCAGGTAAGGCCCCTACCACCAATTCTGACAACCTGAGTTCAATTCCTAGGATCCACATGGTGGAAGGAGAACACTGACTCCTGCAAGTTGTGCTCTGACCTCCACATGTGCCTTTGTGTGCACACACATACATAAGTAATACATTTTTTAAATTAAAAGAAGAAATATTGGGGGCTGGAGAGATGGCTCAGCAGTTAAGAGCATTGACTGCTGCTGTTGCAGAGGACCTGGGTTCAATTCCCAGCACCCGCATGGTGGCTAAAAATCATCCTTAACTCCAGTTTCAGGAGAATCCAAAGCCCTCTTCTGACCTCTGCAGCATTGCACGACATGGGTGTACTCACATACATGCAGGCAGTACACTCATACACATAAAATAAAAATAAAATATTTTTAAAGTCAGGCGTGGTGGCACACACCTTTAATCCCAGCACTCAGGAGGCAGAGGCAGGTGGATCTCTGTGAGTTCAAGGCCAGCCTGGTCTACATAGTGAGTTCCAGGACAGCTGGGGCTACAGGGAGACCCTGTCTCAAAAAGACCAATATTGGAAGAGAGCTGTGCATCAAATTATTTTAATATGAAATACAAGTCATTCATTTGTGCAGTGTTTACTGTGCATTAAAGTTGGGCACAGTTGAAGCCCACCCAGTGTGGTAGCACAGACCTATTTTCCAACACTAAAAAAATTGGGGGCTGGAGAGATGGCTCAGCATTTAAGAGCACTGGCTGTTCTTGTAGAGAACCTGCATGGTGGCTAACAACCAGCTTCAACTCCAGTTCCAGGGGGGCGATGTAACATCCCCTTCTGACCTCTGTGGGCATTGCACACACAGGTGCATTTACATAAATTCAGGAAAACTCATACACATAAAATGAAATTTTAATTTTTAAAAAAACCTTAGTCGGGCGTGGTGGCGCACACCTGTAGTCCCAGCACTTGGGAGGCAGAGGCAGGTGGATCTCTGAGTTCAAGGCCTGCCTGGTCTACACAGTGAGTTCAGGCCAGCTGGGGCTACAGGGAAACCCTGTCTTAAAAAGACCAAAAAAAAAGACAAAAAAAACCTTAGAGAAGCTATGTGCTCTATATCCATTGGTAATCCATAGGATCACTCCCTAGAGTTAGTATAATCAGTGCCCAGATCATCCTGATGTTTGCCTCATGGTCACACTGCTCTCCTGACCTGTCATTCTGGGGCCCTTATTTCTGTGCTGGCATCTTTGCAGAGCGCCAGTGGAATATGTGGATTCCAGGATTTGGCTCTGAAGAAATCCGACCCTACAAAAAAGCTTGTACCACAGAAGCTCATAAACAGGTGAGGAGCCTGGGGACAGCCAGAGCTAATCCTAGAACCGCATGTTAGAGGGGGTAATATGGCTGCTTCTAGGAGTCTCTTTCCTCGACCCAGCCAGCTGCCTGGGGCTGTGCTGTTCTACCTGAGCTTTCAGTTTTCCCTCAGCTCTGATGGGTGTCCTCCTGATTCTAGCTCCTGATGTGAATGGTGGACACTCCCTTCCACAGCTCCTGAGTGAACTCTATTATTGCCATGCCACATGGCCCTGTGAATAAAGGGCAGGTCAGAGGAAGCAGAAGTGTGCTGTGCTTTAGCTGGGAGGTGGCACCCAGGTGTTCCTTGCTAGATATTCTGGGCTATACCCCAGTTAAGCTGCTGTCCTCTGCCCATCTTGACAGGGAGCTTTGGGGTCCATATGATACTATTTCTGCTGTGAAGCAAGTTGCCTGTGTCATTGATTAGTCTAACATCAACATTGGCCTTTCTGTTGTGATTTAGATGGCTGTGCTGGTTTGAAAAGTGAGCTTTTTTTAAGGCATGACAGGCACAGCTGAGCAGTACTGGGTCTTCTGATCTGTGAAGTGTGGACCCAGTGGCCTATCTGAACATCTCTGAGGGCCCTACTCTGCTCTCTGGTGGGAAGGAGCCTGCTAAGCTATGCTTTGTCTATAGTTCCCCAAGACTTCGACCTGTAGTGTAGATGATACAACCTGCCAGCTACATCTGCATGTTCCAGAGAGCTTCTGACTCTAGCCTCTGTTAACCACTGATTTCTCTCTCCTTTCAGAGAATGGCATTGATCCGGAAAACAACCAAGAAATAACATTTGGAAAGTCAGGGAATGGACAACAATGTATTTGGAGATACTTGAGCTGAGACCTCAGCCATCTCATCCTTGGAATTTTTTTTTAGATGCTTTACAGAGAAGCATATATTTTTTATTAACAGTGCAGCAATATCTATAATGACTGAGAAGATCTGCCAAAAGAATAAAGCCTCCTACCCCAACTTCTGGCCCCTTTTCCCTGCCGTCTCAAAGAGGAGCAATGTATCTGCCAGAGAAGATTTTATTTGTGGTTTATTATCTGTGATTGGATGTAGGGCAAAGCACTATGGTCATGTTGGGTGAGACAGTATTAGCAGGATTTGTAGAGGTTTGTTTCTTCCTCCCTTCGTCTTTCCCTGTACTTTGTAATGTCAGTGTTTATATGAATATGAACTTGATTTGGTTTTCCAGAATAAAGAAGTTATCAACTGAAAGACATAGGGTGCATGGCTGGCAGCCTTTCAAATGCCAGGGGAGTCAGGACAGGCAAGGCTTGGAGCGTTCCAGTCAGCAGGTGGCAGCACAGCCATTGATGTCTGCATTTGAGAAACTAAAGGCGGAAACCAGCAGTAGGAGTGAGTCCAGAGTCTCCACCATCAGACAGGGTGAGGTCTGCTAAGCCCCAAATGAACAAGCATCATGGTTTTGATAGTGCTAGTGTGCCTAGGAAAGTTGTTTGTTTTCTTTTTTCCTGGGGGCGATGGGAGGTGTTGAAGCAGGGTTTTGTAGCCCAGGCTGTCCTCAAACTGAACATGGTTGCCAAAGCTGACCTTGAATACCTGGTTCTCCTACCCCTGCCTCCCAGTGTGCTGAGGTTACAGGTGTGCATTGCCACACCTGGCATCTCGGAGCTCTTTTGGACCTCTTCTGGAACTCCATAGAAGGTTGTGTTCATCCTTGGTTCTGAAGAAGAATAAGAGTAACTTTGGGAAAAGTCTCATCGCTGGGATTCTCACTGCCCTGCAGAGGGAACCAGGCTGTGTCTAGACCTCAGGATGTCCTTCCAAGGCAACATCTATTATATTATTTTATGTGTATGTTTGTATTGCCTGCGTGTATATAAGTGCACCTGTGTCATGCATTGCCTGTGGAGGACAAAAGATGCCATCAGATCCCCTGGAACTGGAGTTATGAACAGTTGTTTGCTGTGTGGGTGCTGGGATTTGAATCCCAGTCTTTTTTGAGAACAACCAGTGTTCTTAACCACCGAGCCATCTCTCCATCTCCCAAGGCATCATCTTGACCTGTGCCCAGCACGGTCCTTGTGAACTGAGGAGGTCCATGGGGCCACAGCACAGGCACCTTCCTCCTTGGGACTGCTTTGGTCCCCTGCCTCTTGAGGTTTGGCTCAGGATGGGAACAACTCATAGATCTTAGATGAACAGCTCAAAGGCTGTGCTGATGTCACTGTTGCTATGGCTGAGATATCAACTTAGTGAGCTTACAGGGGGACAGCTTCCTGGTGTTACCCAACACTGAGCTACTAGGTCTGTGGCCTACCACTGGGATGAGGATGTTGAAGGGTTTTAGCTTTCTCCAGAACCTGCTGCCACTGGGAGATGCTTTCAAAAGATGTTCTGTGGTGACATTAAACAGCAGAAGGCTCCCGCTGAGTTCTAGTACGAGCTGGTCACTGACTCAACAGCCAAGAAGGAATCTGGAGTCTTCCTTTGAGAATAGAAAGGGACAGGAATTGGGGAAGTGTCACGGAAAGAGGTGAGGCACTCGAAATGCTTGAGCTTTTCATCAGCTGTGTGACAGGTGGTTTTCTCCAGTTCCTTGTCTGCACATTGAAAGACTAGTTCAAGTCCCTGTAAGCTGTACCCGTGCCTCTCCTAGGCAGAGCCACAGTGGTGACTGAAAAACCCGGGTGTTCTGCCATTAGAGGAACAGATGCTGTGAGTCAAGGGTCACAAGACTGGAGGGGGAAAGAACTAAATGTATACAAGCCCCAAGGCTACAATGTGGTGAGTTGGGCCAGGCCATGCAGCATCTTGTAGGCCCCAGCAAAGAGTAGTTTTTGTCCACAAGTAACAGGAGCCACTGAAGCATTTAATGCAGGAGTAGGCATGTGCAAAGCCCAGTGGTCTAAAGAAGACAGTGTGCCAGGAGCTAGGGATAGAGTTCAGTGATAGACCCCCATGCTTAGCATGACCAAGGCCCTGGTTTCAATCCTAGAAAGAAAAAATGGATCAACTTGTCTATGGCATAAGGTGTGAGATTAGAAGAAAGTAGCCATAGGGGAGCAGAGAGGGAGCCTGGGGTGGGCTCAGTGTGTGGCTTCATCCTGGCATGTAGGCATTTGGAGTGCTTGGTTCAGTGGCGATACTCCGAGCTCTCTCTGTTGCAGCAAGCTGCTCTGGGCTTCCCACCCTTTTCACCAGGGCAGTATTTTTCTTTTTTTTTTTCTTTTTTTTTTTTTTTTTAGACAGGGTCTCTGCAACACAGGCTAACCTGGAACTCACTGTGTAGACCAGGCTGGCCTCGATCTCAGAGATCTGCCTGCCTCTGCCTCCTGAGTGCTAGGATTAAGGGCATGCGCCACCATACCTGGCTTCAGAGCATTATTTTTCTTAAGTCTTGGAATTTGGAAACAATTGTGTCAGACAAGAGGCAATGACCACCCTGGCATGAAAAAGGTCATGGTGAAGAGGGTGTTGTGAAGTTTAAGTATAACATGGCAATTCCCATCTTTGTGTGTGTGTGTGTGTGTGTGTGTGTGTGTGTGTGTGACACTGTGAGAGAGAGAGAGAGAGAGAGAGAGAGAGAGAGAGAGAGAGAGAGAGAGACGTGCACACATGAATGTGGAAGCCAAAGGACAGCCTCGGGTGTCCTCAGGAATACCATCTACCGTGTAACAGGGTCTCAGTGGACTAGAGCTAGCTGGCCACTGAGCCCTAGAGATCCTCCAGTCTCTGCCTCCCCAGAGCTGAGATTACAAGTATATGCCACCACATTCACTTTTTTACATAAATTCTGGGAATCAAACTCAGTTTCTCATGTTTTTCAGACAAGCACTAACTTGAGCTATCTCCGAAGCCCTGGTTTTCATTATTTGTTGCAGTTGTTTAAGGAAAAAACAGGTTAACTGAGTATACTGCAAGGAGCAACAGGCTGGACAGTAACTAAAATACCACGAGCCTTATTTTTTATTGTTGTTTTGGCTTTTGAGACAGTTTCTCACTATGGTAGCCTTGGCTGGCCTGGAACTCACTATGTAGACCAGGCTAGCTTCAAACAGAATTCTACCTGCCTCTGCCTCCTAGGTGCTAGGGATTAAAGGTGTGTACAACCATGCCAGTCCCAGGATGAAGAATGGTACCTGGAATAAATGGGCATGGTGTGACCCACATCTTTAATCCCAGCATTTAGGAGGCAGAGGCAGGCAGATCTCTGTGAGTTCATGGTCAACCTAGTCTCTGGTCTACATAGTGAGTTCCAGGCCACCTGGGGCTACAGGGAGATCCTAAAAAAACAAAACAAAACAAAAAAAAACCTGGGATATTTTTCTTGAGAGTTTATGTTGGCTTTTTGTTTTTTTTCTTTTTTGTATTGCTAGGGATTAAACTCAGATCCCTTACTCATGCTAACCTAGTGCTATACCACTAAGCCACATTTCCAGACTGTAGGTTTTTTTAATTTAGTATTTATTTATTTTTATTTTATGTGTATGAGTGTTTTGCCTGAATATATGTAAGTTCATCCATGTGTATGTACAATGTCTATGGAGGCCAGAAGAGGGCATCAGATCTCCTGGAACCAGAGTTAAAGACAGTTTTAGCCACTATGTGGGTGCTGGGAACCGAACCTGGGTCCTCTACAAGAGCAGCCAGTGTTCTTAACTCTCCAGTCCCTAGACTTCTCCAATCCCTAGACTTTGATTTTTAATTTTTTTTATATTTTATTTTTTAAATATAATTTATTATTTTTATTTTATGTGTATAAGTGTATCACCTGCATGTATGTGAATGCACCCGTGTCATGCAATGCCATGGAGGTCAGAAGAGGCTTCGGATGGTTGGTAGCTGCCATGTGGGTGTTGGGAATTAAACCCAGGACCTCTGCAAGAGCAGTCAGTACTCTTAACTGCTGAGCCATCTCTCCAGCCCCCTATATTTTATTATTTTAATTTTATGTGTATGGGTGTATTGCCTGTATGTGCACCTGTGTGGTGCAATGCCCTCAGAAGGTCAGAAGAGGGTATCAGATCCCCTGGGACTGGAGTTACGGACAGTTAGTTGTCATGTAGGTGCTGGGTTTTAAACCCAAGTCCTTTGCAAGAGCAGTTAGTACTTGTAACCCCTGAGCCACTTCTCCATCCCTTTTAATTATTTTTTTTAATTTTGTGTGTATGAGTGTGTTGTGTGCTTGTATCTAAATACATCAGTGAGCGCAATGCCTGTGGAGTTGAGAGGACAGTGTAAAATCTCCTGGAACTGGAGTTACAGAGAGTTGTTAACTGCCATGTGGGTGCTGGGAACTGAACCCCAGTCCTCTGCAAGAGCAGTCAGTGCTCTTAACTGCTGAGCCATTTCTCCCTAGATTTTGGTTGTTTGAGAAAGGGTTTCCCTGTACAGCTCAGGTTGGCCTCAAATTCCTGGTCTTCTTGCCTCAGCCTACTGAATTACTGCGTGACCGGGACTAGGGATAGGTGCCACCAAGCCTGGTTTGAGTTGTTAAGTAAAGCTTGAAACAAGCTGGAGAGATGGCTCAGCAGTTAAGAGCACTGCTTGCTCTTGCAGAGGACCTGGGTTCAATTCCCAGTGCCCACATTGGCGGCTAACGACCATCTGTAACTCCAGTTCTAGGGGATCTGATGCCTTCTGACTTCCACAGGCATTGTATGACACAGGTGGACTTACATGCAGGCAATACATTCATACACATAAAATAAATTTAAAAACTCAATACTGCTGCACAAGATTGGCATATAAATAAACAGGCTGCAAACCACCACCCAGACAGTGGGAGGCCATGAAGATTTAGAAGGCTGGCATGTCCCTAGTGCCCAGCTGCCAGTGTGTGGAGTGTGTGGAGTTATTTGGATCAAAGGTAAAGTAGTAAGGTTTGAGGGGTCCTTCAGTAGAAGAATTCACTAAAAAGGAGGGAAGGGAGTGGCTGTAATAGGATGAGTCAGGAAGACACAAGGATGAGTCCGGAAGACCTGGGATTAGGAGCCATCATGAAGCGGTTCCCCTCTGCCCATATGGGGTGGGTAAGAAGGGAAAAGCTAAACTAAAGTCTTTCTTGGGATTTGAAAAGATAAGACCTCAATAGCCAGGTGTGGTGGCACTTGCCTGTGACCCCAGCACTCAGGAGGCAGGGACAGGATTGCTGTCAGTTCCAGTCTAGCACAGTCTACATGTGTTCCAGGCCAGTGCTTAGTGAGAACTTGTCCCCAAAAATAAATAGGGCTGGAAATGTAGCTTAATTG